GCCAAAAAAAACCACTGTTGTAATGATAATAACAAATCTTTGGATAGAGATTTTCCCAAACAGTCCTCTTGTGAGAAACTTTCCTTCCCTGGGAGGTAACTAAATTATTACTTTTTTCCTTATTTCCAGCAGTCTTTTTAAAAAATTGTAATAATTCAAACATACAGAAAAGTAGAGAAAACACAGAATGTCCCCTTGCAGTTTATACCCCTGAATGGAACCGGTTACTGATTTCACTCCCCTTAGATTAGTTTTGCCTATTTTTGAACTTTATGTGTTTGGAATCACACAATATATTGTATATTTAAACTAAGTATTCCATCTTATTATAGACATTACTTTGTAATCTGCTTTTCCTGCTTAATACTATCTCATGAACATTTTACAATTATAATCTACAATAGAATTATGATCTTCTTTTTTTGATCTCTCTCCTCCCACCATAGAATCATATTTTTAAATTGCTCCATTGTTTGTAACATATGCTTGGTTATACTTATATAATTATTCTACCCTTTTTTATTCACGAGGTAAGAGGATCTCAGAGGATCCATTCAGGCAGCAAATGTGGAAACTGGCACTCAAACCTACATCTCAGTCTCTCATTCTTCCACCGCTAAAAAGGAAAGTGCTCAAATACAGTCAGAACCTCGCAGCAGTCTTATATAAGGGCATAAGGGCATTATAATAGCAGCAAGAATGACTAATAAGTATTAATGGCTCATGACAAGTGAACAAATGCCGTTAATTATCCTAATATATTAGGCATCTTAGTAATGTCTGCATAGAATTATTCATGCAAATGGTATTAGCCTGTGTCGGGGGCGGCTGCTAGACCAAACATCAGGCCCACAGCTCAGCCAGCTCTTTGCCTCTTTCTCCAGATGCGCAGGGGGTAGGACTTCCAAGGACACGCCCCCGTGGAGCTCCGAGGAGCCAATCGACGCGCAGAAGGAGGGGCCCTGGGAGCGACAACGGTGCTATCCAATGGGCTGACAGCGGGGCAGAACGTGGCCAATGGGCGTGCTCCTCCTCGACGGTCGGAAGTGGTGAGGCAGCTCTGGGGGCCGTTGTTCAGTGCGGGGGCTGACTGGGGAGGCTCCAGGTCTGCGGCTTGGGGGTGGGCTCGGCGTTTCTCTTCGCGTCCCGGGTGAGTGTAGCGTCTGCCCGCGCCTGGGGAGCGTCGTGCGGCTTCCAGTTCAGGAGGAGACCGGCACCCCGGGGGAGGGGCGTGTGGACGAGGGGGCTGTAGGCAAGGGGGTCGCGGCCGTGAGGAGAAGGTGCCCGCGCGGCGGCGTCTCCTCGGGCCACCGGAGGAGGCCGCGCTTTCTCCTCAGGGAGCCGGAGCCTCGGCTGCCTCGGGCGGCGCCGCCCCCTTAGCGGCCTTGGCCTGTGAGGCTGGGAAACGGGCGTCGCCCGCAGCGCTGCTGTGGCCACCGCGCCCCGGGCGGAGCCGGCCGGACGCCGGCCTGGGCTTGCAGCCCGCGCCTCGAGCTGCCGGCGTGGGGGTCACGGGTGGCCTAGTGCGGCCTCCGCGCCGGTGGGCCCGGGTTCGAGCCCCGCTCTGACCAGCTGGTGCGGCGGGTGACTGTCTCTCTGACTTTCCCTTTCGAAATGAGAGGATGACTTTCACCTGAGGATTGTGGTCGGGATTAAAAAGCCTGTCCGAGTAAGCGCTGAGCAATGCACCAACGCGCGGTGAACGTTGACTGGTGTTACTTGCGAAGTGGCGCCCTCTCCGCTCCCATCCCCGACCTCGCCGCGGGAGGGAGTGGTCGGAACCCGCCTCCGGGTGCGCGCCCCGCCGGGGTAATCCCGCCGTCGCCTCGGGCTCAGGGACGGCCGCGTCTAAGGTCCTGAGGGCTGGCCAACGCCTAACGGGCTCGTTCTAAAGTTTAAGGCTTTTTTGTGTGTGCCGAAGCCCTTCCATCCATGCAGTCGCCCGATCGCTCCTCACAACGACCTTGTGAAGTATTGTCAGTAGTCTGCCTGAGGAATCTGAGGCCCAGAGAGGTTGAATCACACAGGTGCTGAGTGGAGAACTAGCCAGAACTTGAGCCCCGCAGGAGGAGCTGGCTCCAAGCCCTGCCTGCTGGCCCCAGGCCCCTTGCAGCTGGGAAAGTGAGCGCGCTCCTCGTCCCGGGCTCTGGGCTCAGTTTAGAGTGGGCCGTTTAGTGGGCTGTAATGGAGCACACCTAAACTCAATCGGACGGCGCCGGGAAAGTACCTAGACTTCCTCCTTCCAGGAACCGGGTGATTTGTTTTCGGAGGTAGTGAGTGCTTCCTATCCCTAGTTAACATTTCACATCAAAGCGGGTGTCTTGAACATTGCCATTCTCTCGTTTATTGATTGACTGGGACGGAGTCTCGCCCTGTTTGTAGCCGGGGCTAGAGTGCCGTGGCGTCAGCTCACAGCAACCTCAAACTCCTGGGCTCAAGCGATCCTCCCGCCTCAGCCTCCCGAGTAGCTGGAACTACAGGCGTGCGCCACCATGCCCGGCTAATTTTTCTGTTTTTAGTTGTCTGGCTAATTTCTTTTTATTTTTAGTAGAGACGGTCTCACTCTCGCTGCTTTGTTGTACTTCTGGTCTTAGTTTAAATGTTATCTCCCAGAAAGTTCTCTGATCACTCTTATCTAAAGTAGATTTCTTCCCTCCACGCTGACCCTATGTATATGTCTGTGTATTTTTCCATCAAAATACTCACCTTAAGTTATATTTTTTTGTCTATTTTTCTGTACTACTAAATTGCTGTTACATCAGACACTATATTTAATTTGTAAAGTATCCTCAGTGCCAGTACACTGTGGCACGCAGTAAAGTCTTAATTAACACGCCAGACAGCACTCTAGCCGGGGCAACAGAGTGAGACTCTGGCTCAAAATAAATAAATAAATAAAGTGAATATTGGTAGTAAAGTTGCCAGTGCTTTGCTTCTGCATTGCTATCTTGTTTAAAAAGAAGGAAAAATTTTATAGTGAAGAAACTTGACAGACACCATCTCCAGTGTGGTCACAGTTAACATCACCAATAATAACAGGACTGTTGACCTCATGTACCTTCCGATATCATGCACTGAGAGGAACACAACATCACTTCTGTGGTATTCTTGACAAAAATGTATAACCTCAATTTAATCGTGAGAAAACATCAGACAAACCCAAAGGGAAGGACATTATATAAAATAATTAACCAGATGCTTAGCAAGGTCATGAAAGATAAAGACTAAAGAAATGTCCCAGATGACAGAAGATTAAGAACTGACAGTTAAATGTAATGTGTGATGCTGGATTGTATACTGAAATGGTAAAAGGGATGGTTGGTGAAATTTGAATAAGGTCTATAGATGAGTTACTAGTATTGTATTAGTGTTAATTTCCTATATATGAGAATTTTACTGTGGTTATTTATGATGCTAACTTTTTAAGATAAAATTTTAAAATATGCTGATCATCTTTATCGTTCCAGTTTTAGTATATGTGCTGCTGAAGTAAGCACTGATGTTAATTTTTAGGGAAATTGGTGGAAGACTGTAAGGGAGTTCTTTGTACCGTTTTTTTGCAACTGTTTTGTAAGTCAAATTATTTTAAATTGAAAATTTAAAAATAATAAAAGGAAGGAAACCCTCAAGGGTGTTGGGTGTTAAATAAAGTGCTTTAACACACTGGTTTTGGTGACATTTTCTGTATAGTAGCGTATTTTGTTTTTTTTGCATGTTATCCTTAAAGCAGAAATGAAATAGAAAGTTAACATTTCTTTTTAGTTTCCAGGAAGAGCTAAAAATGGCTGAATTTCTAGATGACCAGGATACTCGACTGTGTGACAACTGGTAAGAAATTAAATCTAAGAAATGGTTTGGAATGAGAACAAACTAGCTTCTTTAAAGAGTTGGTTTATTTATTGGCAGGTTAACATTGCTAGCCATATAATATACAGTGCAATTAAGTGGGACCAGAGCTTTCTAACAATTTTGGATAAACTGCCAGTTTGAGAAAGTTTTTGTTTTGTTTTGTTTTTTGAGACGGTCTCCTCTGTCGCCCAGGCTGGGATACAGTGGTGTGATCATAGCTCACTGCAACCTTGGAGTCCTGGGCTCAAATAATCCTCTTGCCTGAGCCTCCTGAGTAGCTGGGACTATAGATTTGTGTGCCACCGCACCCAGCTAATTAAAAATTTTTTGTAGAGGTGGGGTTTTGCTGTGTTGGCTGGTCTTGAACTGTTGGCCTCTAGCAATCTTCCTGCCTCTGCCTCCCAAAGTGCTGGGATTTCAGGTGCGATCTACCACACCCATCCCTGTTTCAGTAATTTGACAGGATGGTTGGTTTAGGCAGAATAGAGTAGTGCTAGAATGATAGGATGAGGCTAGGAGTCAGGGCTCTGATTCCTGCCTTTAATTAATGACTTTTGGCAAGTCACTTGACAGCTGTGGAGCCTCACTTTTCTTACCTGTCAATAAATGAACTTATTTTTTGTGTGTCTGAAAAATATCATATGTTTGAAAAAAGATAATGTAATAAATATAACGTTTGGACCAGTTCAGTGTTTTTCAAAGTATGATGTAAGGATTTCCCTGAGTGGCCACATTGGCTGTCGTGGGGTTGATTGGTAGCAAGGTTTAGTGAACTTGGCTCTATACCTAGTTACAGTTCAACTAGAGCTCGATCTTAACTCTTCATGAAGGATTTTGCTGCTTAAAAATGTCTGGTTGAACTCTTAAGGCAGTCAGACTTAATCACTGTCATTTCATGATTCTAAAACTGTTAGTGAAGACTGGTACGGTCTTGAATGTTAAGGTTTCTATTTAGATGTTTATAACCCACGTGAGTTACAGGAAAGACCAGCTCTTTCCTGCTGAAATGAAACCTAGGCATACAGTTAATAATCAGCTGATTCCTGGTGGGGATTTCTCAAGAGCTTAACCTTGATGTTTTGGTGCTATACAAGTTCTCTTACTGTAAGCTAAAGAAGAAAGCAAAACACAACTGTCTGTGTTATGTTTAACTTACCAAATTGTGGTAGAAGGAGAGAGGTTGAATAGGAATATAGTGTGACATATTGGTGGAAGATTCAAGCCAGAGAAGAATTTTTCTTTTTTTGGTTTCCTTTTTCTTTCTGCTCAGCCTAACTTTAGTAGAATTAGGGTATAATTAGAGAAACTGCTGGTTACAGTATTCTTCCGTGGAATTAAGATTTCATTCCATTGACAGGTGTCTTGCCTTACAGGATATTTATTTATTTATTTATTTTTTGCTGTCCTTACAGGATATTTCTCTTTACTATACCACTATTACTTTCTGCCATTTCATAAACTATTATAGCTTAATTTGTGTTTTATATGTAGTTACTGATACAAAGTAATCAGTGAAACAATCACAAGAAAATATTGTGATTTTCTAAGAAAACAGACATCTCTATTTTATCAGTCTATTCCAATTCAAGGAATCTCAAACCTAGGACAATATATAAATAGCTATGCAAAGGGAGTTAAAAAAAAAAAAAAGGGTAAGTTAATGGAAAGCTAATAAAAACAAGGTTATTCAAAGCCAAAGCAATTATTTGAAGAAAAAAGCAGATTAGCATGGAAGGCTGACTAAAGCTGTATTGACTTCCCATCTAAATAACCCTGTTTATTTTTATTTATTTGTTGAGACAGAGTCCTGCTCTGTTTCCCAGGCTAGAGTGCTGTGGCATCAGCCTAATCAGAGCAACCTCAAACATCTGGACTCAAGGAATCCTCCTGCCTCAGACTCCCAGAGTGCTGGGATTACAGGCATGAGCCACCACACCCAGCCTAAAGACAAAATTTTTAAACCTGAAATTTAAACAGGGTTATTGGCTGGGCATGGTGGCTCATGCCTGTAATCCTAGCACTTTGGGAGGCTGAGGTGGGAGGATCACTCAAGGTTAGGAGTTCAAGACCAGCCTGAGCAAGAGTGAGACCCTATATCTACTAAAAATAGAAAGAAATTAGCTGGACAACTAAAAATATATAGAAAAAATTAGCCAGGCATGGTGGCGCATGCCTGTAGTCCCAGCTACTT